TCTTCTGCATCAATGATATTTGATTAAAAGTTGTTGGTTCTGGTCTTCATCTTAGAACTGAGTCTCCAGTTAGTTACTATTAATCGTTCTTCCATATGTTTTGGAGGAATCCTATCCAATAAGCAAAAAACAAGATATAATTATGAGTGGTACTAAAAAAAAACAAATACGAGTTGTGCTAAAATGGCACAAAACGTTCTATCGGCCACACTTGTTTTTATTTCAGAAATAAGTTAAGTAACTGAAGCAAACAAAATGAAATCAATCATTTTTCTACAAATAATGTTTTTTTTGTAAAGGATAATTGCCCCAACATTTTGTTTTACTTTAGAGAAACAGTTCATTTTTTTCAAATTTTTGAATTTTTTCTCATCGTATACATTACATTCTGCACAAAAAAGAGTGTTGACGCAATACTTATTATCAATAGTAATCTCAGCTTTAGTCTATTCGTGGCACTGAGAAAAAATGAAAGAGAGTGATCTGCTGCCATAGGACTAGACAAAACGTTCCGACAGCAGTTATTGTAGCAAAAAAATCAGAAAGACAAAAAAAAAACAAATTACTTCTTGAAAACTTGTTTGGAAGTTATATTCAAAAGCAAAGAAAAAAGAATGAAGGTTTAATTATTCAACATCATATACTCTACGCCAATTTAGCTGAAAAAACAAAATTCTTTAGAATAGCTTATCTCATTATCAAAAAATCAAGAAATGAGCTCTTTTTGAAATGTAATTGATCACTGGAAACTCTTCAAAATTTCAAAAACGCTAATAGCGCAAAAGGTACGTCGAGGCCTCTGAATTGATTGAAAATTAGATACCTCGCAATTGATTTTATCTGGAGCTGCGAAATAGTTTCCATGTCTCAACTGCTAGTTCACAACACACTCTCTAAGTTTTGCACGTTTTTACGTTCTTTATAAAAGATCAAAATTTGAGATACGTTCGTAATATGAATTAAAATGCTAGTTTCAAAAATCAAATCAGCAGTTTGACAAGTTCAGATAAAATAACTGATTTAACTGAAAGGTGATACACTAACAACAAGGTGATATATTACAAAAAATGGCAGCACTAATCTTAATCTGTACACAACAAAAATGTTCCTAGCGGGAATCAAACCCGTACCTCCGCGCCATGAATGAAATGTGCTAGCCACTGTAAAAAGCTGACTGCAAAATTGCAAAAACTAGCAAGAATTTGTCCAGTAATCAAACAGCTCGCAAAAAAGAATTGCTATGCTCGCTAGGCTCTGATCAAGATCAAGCTAATCAAGTTTTTGAAATTTCGAACAATCTTAAGTTGAGCAAGTTCGTAAATCGTTTTGAACACTTAACGTTTTATAGAGCGAATCAGTTTGCAAAAAACTGAATTTCTTCTGAGCAAGCTACGAAACTTAAAATTTTTCAAGTTAATTCCGTGAAGCGAATCGGAGCGCGAAAAACTGAAGTTTTTCTAAGCAAGCTACAGTAAGCAAGCAAATAAATCAAAATTTGCTTACTAAGTAAGCAATTAACTACAACTATTTCATAGACAGGACGGTTTGCAATATGTTCATGTTTTTATTGAGCTATGTAACTTTGACAATTTTTAATAGACGGTTTGCAAAAACTTCAATAATTTCTAAGCAATCTAATCAAGCTATGAAACTGTGAAATAATGCAAGTTATTCCATATACCAAAACAGTTCGAAATAATTTCAAGTTCTTCTTATTAAAGCTATGAAGTAATAGACCGAAAAATTCATTTTTGTGAAGCAAGTTTTTCAAGATATGAAATCTTTGAAAGACTGAATCTGTTCGCAAGAGTTTTAAGTTTTTCCAAGCAAGTTTTTCAAGCTATGAAACTTTGAAACATTTAAAGTTATTTAATAGTGCAAATCAACTTGCTACAATTGGTTTTTATAAGCATGCAGGTTGCTCATTTAATCCATTAGTTTCAGACAAAAATGAATCTGTGAACGCAAAATTTTGGACAAAAACTGTCTAGCCTTGAAGTTCAGTCGAGTTCATCTTGTATAACGTTTTGAACTTGTTTTCAGAGAAGTTTCCATAGTACTACTAAACGCCTTTTAAACATTGAGCTCTATGTTTGCTCTGATTCGTAAAGGTTCTGATCTAAGCCTTATTAAACGTTTGCTTAGAAAAGAAGTTAAGACTTTCATTTGATATATAAGATGGAGAATTTATCCCCCAATGAAATAAATTTTTTTAAATATAAGCATTTTTACTAAGTGGGAATACATGCATTAAGTGTGTTCAACAAAAATTTGAGAGTTTCGACAGTTACTGTTTTCTTGAACAAGAGAAAATAAGTCAAATTTTTGGACTATATCTCACGTCTGCGGTTTTTCCTTTAGTTACGATAACATGCAGAATGAGATAGGGCTGTGCCGTATACATTTGGGCTTCTTGATTTTAGATGTATTTTAAGGTTGTTAAATCATACATAATGTCGAACTAGTTACTTTCGGTGATAGTGCAGATTTTGAAAAAAGAAACTCTTATTTTTTTTGAAAAAACTTCACTTGGTGATGTTTTAAAATAGGTGGCAGATGCAACTGATTTAACTCAGCTGAGCATTGACGAAGGTTCACAAGGTTTTGAACTCGGGCCTATGGGACCTTCGGCAGATATTTTAGGCCAATATACCGACCAGTCTGCTTATGGTGTGAGTACGAGTTAATACTCAAAATCATAACCGAGTATTACCAGTTTTTGTTTATGTAACTGCACTTTGTAAATATACTAGAGACCGGTAATACATGGTTATGATTTTGAGTATTAACTCCTACTCAAACCATGAGAAAAAAAACAGCTATATCTAATGTCTTTTGACTTTCCACGACTATTTATGATTGCCACATTTGAAAAAATTAAAATATTATAAATTATATGCCCTTTAATCACCTTGAATTTCGAGAATAATTGGTAATTGATGCTTTTATGAAAATATTTATCCAATTTGAGAAAAGTAAATTAATATGTAAAATTTCAATTCCGCTGGAAAATCTGAACTTGGAAATCTACTTTCGAAATTTTTGCCTTCCTTTGAACAAAGAAAATGATTTAAACTTGAAAAGAAAACTTGAGTCAAACCATGAAAAAAAAACTTTTTAGCATGAACAAATGTTAAGACTTTTCCTGTGAAGAAAAAAAAAGTCAGCACCTGTATAAAACTAACGTTCATTAAATTTTAAAAACTCAAAATTTTGAGTTTTTTTCTCAAAAATGGACCCTAAAGCTCTGAATTTTAACAAAAATGATAGCCACTTTTCAAAAAAATAAACTCAATGTGAGAAAAAGTGGATCAATACGTATTTTTTTCCGCTGGGGACTAAGAGAATGAAATGCACTTTTGAAACTAGAAGTCGATCACGTGTTTCATTTTTATATGTTTTGCTAATAGCTAGTTGAAAATGGTTTCTTTTTCTCAAAAGAAATTTATCGAATTTTCAAAAGAAAATCAACGGCGAAAAATTAATTTGAACGTGAACAAATTTTGAGACTTGAAAAAAACCTAACAAAATCATCTCGACATATACAACTATTAACGTTCATTGAAACATGATTACCATTTAGTTTTAATTGATTTCTACTTTCCAAGAGTGTTTTGAAATTAGGCAGCCATAGGCCTAAACCGCACTTAAGAAAATATCAACTGCGCTACCTTCCGGACGCATTTTAGCTAGTATACAAAAAAAATTCTAAAAACATCCGACCCTGCCGAGGTTCGAACCAACTGATTTTGTTGCTGGTCTCCTTTCCTACTTCTACACTACAGGTCAGTGGCGATTTTAGGGGGGCGCGTCGACCTCCTGCCAACCTCAGGGATTCGGGTCTCCCTGCCGACCCATAGTGTCCCCTCTTTGTACTATTTTTATATATCCAATTTAGTGACGGACCCTGAAATAAAATTTTTCTGAAGGCGCCTTTGTTGCCAATATAGACTAGTTTCGAGGGGGGAGTACGCGCCAAAAAAGAGCAATTTTTTTGCTCAAAATTTTCCAAAAAAGCCTAAAAACGCTTTTTGGCTTTTTTTTTTATTTTGTCAAAATTTAGACACTATAAACCTACTCGAAACTGAAAAACGAAATCAATTTCTAAAACTTAAGTCATTCAATTAGTTCTCACAATTTTGATTTTGGCTACTGAAGGAAATAATGAAATTTTTAATTAGAAAACGAATATGAATTGAACTTAATAAGAAATCCAAGACAAACCACAAAAAAATCAAGTTTGAGCGAGCGTAAACATCTTCTAACTTTTTTCCTGAGAAAAATCAAGACCAAAATTAATGTTATCGCAAGCTTCCCTCCAGCTCCGCCATAATTAATAACTCAAGATATTTTTTTGCTAATTAGACAATATAAAAGAAAATTTATTTTGTTCTGCAGCAAATATAGCCAGCAGAAACGTGGAATCAATTTCAATAAATTTCGAGAAAAAAAACATCATTTTGAGGCTCTTCGATATTCAAGAAATTTTTATAATTGACAATTTATTTCATAAAACAAATCGAATTCAAGAAATCTGGTTTATATGACGATTTGAACCTACACGAAAATTAGTCTAACACTAAAATCAAACACTTTTTTTCTTGCCCTTCTCACTTTTATTGAAGAACGCGATGAGACTTTCATTTAACAAATGTATCTAAGCTGAACTTAATCAAAAATCAAAGTAAAACAGCAAGCAAATCTAATTTTAGCGAGCGTGAACCCCTTTAAACGTTTTCCTGCAAAAAATTTTATACCAAAATTAGTGTTATTGCTTTGTTCATTACCACTGAAAAGCAGCGTTAGTAATCTGAGAGGGTCAACACCAGAATCCAAAATACTTCCTTTTAAGTAGGTCTTTAATTCACTTCCATTCACATAATTTTCCATTATTCAGGAAGCTTTTTCGAAAAAAGCCAATCAACTAAATTATTGCAAGCTTCGTCGTCTAGCTCAATTGCCGTTCAAACTGCGGTGTCTTTGATATGCTGAAAAAAAAACAAAGAAAAAATCGATCAATTGGTACAACTCGTTCAACTACTCTTGAAATCAAAGCGACTCAAAAATTCAACATAAAACAGACAAACTATTAACATCATATCAAAATATGGCAGATGAGGTTAGACTAGATTCAGTTTGCAACATCCACATCAGTTTTTGCAACTTTCGAGTCTCTCTCAATTACGTCTCCGTTAGCTGTCACCGGAGAACCTTCTATATTGCGTCTTTTCAGGTCTTCTGTTTTATCCGAACCGTTGCTCAATTTGTCACTTGTGCAACCATTTTCAGTTTCGTTTTCATTCTCACCGTTCGATTTAGTCTCACCATTTTCTTTTGCCTCGTGATGTCCGTTCACTCCATTTTCAGATTTATTGCTTTCTTTGCTTCCCTCTTCATTGGTCGAGTCAATTTTGTCTGAAGGCACTTTGTCGTAAGTAGAATTGCTGTTCGCGGTCTTCGCTTTTCGTTCCGGAGTGTAGATTAGTTTCTCCGTCAGATGGTGTGCTCCCAGTGTTGCAATCACAGCTGTGACATTATCCAGCCCCGTTGTTGTGTCGCAGCTGTCCGAGATACACTTCTGAGCCAACTAAACAACATTCCTTCGAATTGACCAAACCAATCACTTAAATAAATTTACCTTACCTTCCACGGAGTAATAAGTTCGAAGAACAATATAGTTCTTCGATACGTATTTCTGTTTGAGTTGATATCAAATCTATTCTTTTTAATCTTGGATAACTTTGTGACTGCTAACATCAGCTTATCACTTAGTCTAAAGAAAGAAAGAATTTATTTTTCCGATAGGTAGTTACATTCATTGACAGAATAAAACATAAATTCAATGATAAAGTACTCATCACAAGGGAAAACTAACGAGACCATGAGGGTATACTAACAGCAGCCCTTTAATAGCAAACCCATGGTAGATAGCATCATGAATCAAAGGAAAAAGAAATCTAAAAAAAATCCAAGATACTTAAATTAATTTTAAACAGGTACAGTAACAATTTTTAAAATAAATGATATAATGCGTACAAACAGCGCTGAACACAGCGCTACAACCAATGTTTTGACGCCATATCCCACTGGCTGTACACTGACATCAAATTTTAATTTTTTCCCTTCTGAAAGTTTTGTAGGAAAAACATTGAGAAATTTCAAAAAAAAAATCACAAAAACCGTCATATCTATAAAACTAAGAGACTCTGGACCGCCGTATTTTTCCACATAATTCGCAACCCACAATTATCAATCCTATAGCATTTACCTAAGTCAGTGAAATTCCATGTATTTAAAAAATAAAAATAGAGTTGCAAGCTAGTTGTTACCTAACAGGTATCCATTTTTAAATTTATGATAAAAACTTTTTTATTTTCTTAAGTTCGAATTTTCTAATCCTTCTTTCGAGTAAGCCTCGTGTATTAAGCAGATTGTAAAGTCTACATCCCCGGTAGATAACTGATTGCTTTTCAAAACGTTTTTCTTAAATACTTCTTTCAATAGGTTTAATTTACCCCCTACGAGTTTCTCGTAGTGGATTTTCAAAACTGAATAACTTCTTTAAAAAATCTCCACTGCGGAGATTATTTATCGATCGTAGTACGAATTTCAGTAATTCGTAGACATGCTCATGCACTGTTAGCAGTTGATTTTTCGCGAAAATGTCTTCTGAGTGGTCACCACGTTTTCTAAAATATGTCAATTTCAATATCTTTTTCTGAAGCATAAAAATTGGCAGCAAGGAAAAAAGAATACAACAACCGTATACAAGAATGCCATATTGGATAGTTGTTTTGATGTTACTGCGCTAGTAAGCTAAAAGCTAATGTCGAGGTTTATAAAACCGTAGCTTTGAAATAATGCCTGATTGTTTTGCTACTAGCATTTTTACATAGTCTATATGGGACAAAAAGATCGTTTTGTTTTGAATCAACGTACACCCCCAAATACTTACAAACCGGTTCAGTTTTTATATCACAATTGTTTAATTGATGGGTCATCGAACTGGAGGAATTTACATTCATTTCTACTGTTTTATCCATATTTATAATCAGTTTATTGGCATTCAGCCAATAATTCAGTTTACGGATGTCCTCATTAATCAAAAAGTTTAATTGTCCCAATGCAGTTACATTGGTGTAATCTGCAAAAAGAACAATTTCAGATGATTTACAAACATGCGGTAGGTCATTTGTGTCAAAAAGAACCAGTAAAGGACCTAAAACAGATCCTTGAGGAACACCACAGGATATTGCGGACCAGTTGATTGATATTCTATTTATTTCCACACGTTGCATTCTTCCCCTTACGTACGAACTAAACCAATCATAATTATTCCTTTTGATGCCGTATGATTACAATTTCTGTAATAAAAGGGGATGTTCCATTGTATCAAATGTGTTTTTCAAAGAAAAAACAAAGCAATTATATTTTGCTTGCCGCATGACTGCATTTTTTCTGTAAAATCAACAAGTGCGTCAATAGTACTATGCTTCGTCTTGTCGGCAATAAATCAGAGAACTTTTCAAGATAATTCGAGATTATGGATTATTACCAGAACTTCGAGTTCTGTTACTGTATACAAAAATACAGATTGCTCAGCTTGGGTAAAAGGTGTTGATGGTAGACAATCCATGTTCTTTTTAAGGTCGTTGCCAATTGCTGAGAAAAAACTACTGAATTTTTCAGCAACATCCAAGGTTGATGAAGTATTGCAGTGCTGCAAATACGATTCCAGTATTGGCGCATTGGTATCATTCATGTTTTTTCCGCTTAAATCGTTTAGTAGTCTCCTATACAAGCAGAAAAATTCGCATGATGGTATTTGCTTTTTGCCCACTTTATTTCTTATTCAAGCTTCACTCGCAATTGTTTGAATCTATCTAGTAAAATTGGGTTGCTCGGTTGATTTTGCCATGAACGATGAGCTTACTTTCTTTTGGTTTTTAAATTATTCAATGTTCTAATGATCCATTTTTTTATTCCGTATTTGTGTTTATTTGCATGGGTGCATAAAATGTAGTAATTTTATTAAAACTGCGGCAAAATTGTTAAATGATGCAGGAGGGTCAGAATTATAGCAAACTGCGACTTCATTTTCTTTTAATTCTGATTGCAAATTGCTAATATACATGGCAGGTGCTTGTTTATTATTAACAAATTGTAGGCCACGAAAAGATTGACTTTTTCTTTTTTTTTAAAAAACTAGGTGGATTCCATTGTTATAGGATCGGATAACGATCGGAAAAACCCTGGTACTCTAAAACAAAGTGATGCGTTTTAGTTAAAATTAGATATATGAAATGATGCAGGCAGGTTTTTGTTGTTTCAGTAACTCTTGTTGCTTTTGTATCGCCTAATTCATAGCCATTTAGAAAACAGCTCAGGTTGTTTTTGGATAGCTGATTAATCTTAAAACAATCGATTTTGAAATCACCACATATTACAATTCTTAACGATGGCGAAAAGTTATCTTCCAGAAAATTATCCAGCTGATCGATAAAACCAAGTTTGTTTATTCTAGAAGGGTTGTACATCACGGCAATTTTGAACTAACAGTTATCTTTTTCAATTTTCGCTCCTTGATGCGTGCGGGAATTTATTTCAAAAACTTCAAGTCAGAGCTTATTTGTATCATAACCCCACTTACACGTGTTTTACGGTTGTATGTTACAAACTTATTGTGGTCGTCAATGAGACAGCATTTACAATCATCATTATGTTAACCAAGCTTCTGATAAGAATAAAATGGAAGGCAGAGACTCAAGACTGTATACTAATGCTTCCAGTTCATTAAGATGACCTTTCAGAGAACGAACATTTATATGTAGCATAGAAACTTTATGTTCCGGAGAGGGCCGCCGGTTGGTAGAAAACACCAGTAAAGCAACAGCAAAGGAAAACAATATCAAAACTATAATCAAGTAGATGAGCGCCATCATAGAGCCCGATTTCTTTATTGAGATAATTATCATTTCTTGCAGGAAGTAGATATTTCCCTCTCTGGACCAAGTCACCGCAATTCGCTCGTCAGTTTTCATTAGTATGAGGAAGTTCAGTTTAGCCTTGGTTAAATCTTAGAATATTTTAACATCTTGTGTGTTCAGTTGGCGCTTCTTTTTCAAGAGATCCACTTTTGCAACTCGATGACAAAAAATAATAATGATGGGTTTGGTTTTCCTCGACCCGGTAGTCGATGAGCAATTGATATATCCTGCTCGGTGATATTTGCTCCTATCTCATTTGCAATGTTCAGTACTTTATTTGTCGTCTCTTCCACTGATTCATGGCTCCCACTTTCCGCATTTCTGGCTATTCCGCTAATGGGAACATTTTGCTTTCTGTTGTAGCTTTCCAGCAACTCAGCTTCAGATAGGCTCTTGAGGTTGCAGCGACTTTCTTGTGAGCATAGATGTTTTTTTTTACTTCAGAGAGAACTTGTTTCTTCATGTCTTCAGTAGCAACATTGATCATATTCGCCATCAACTCCTTCATCTCATGTTTCAGATTTGCAAACATAGTTGGGATTATACCGCTGATCGATGCTTTGATGGTTGTCTAGATTAGCTGCACTAGGTTGTTCTCTGAAGTTTCCTGTTCGATGGGACTAAGAACTGTACATACTCGTTTGTTCTCGACTTCAGGATGGGTGAATGGCCTTGGTATTTTAGAGTGGGAATGTTGTATCAGGCTTCGAAATAGGTTGATAGGTTGTTTGAATGGGTATCAGGATTTGAGACATTGTTTAATGGAATATCAATCATGATCATTTACAGCTTCTGAAAAACTTATCACAACAATTAGTCTCGCTCAATTACGGTGCCGATTCACTAGACATAAAAATACGTGACACAGCAAAACTTAAATACGTTGCATTGAAGTCTCTTCATACAGAATTTAATTAAATTATCCAGACAAAACACATAAAACTTGAAATTTAAAACGCGTTCTGATCGAATTGGGTTGATTTTGGAAAAAACATCAAGACAAAACTTGCTTACAACAGTTAGTATAAAAAAGTTTTTTTTTTCGAAATTCGGGCACAAAATTTTACATGCATTTTTTTGGCTTTTTAAGTCAATCAAAAATAACGCAGAAATTACCTGGTCAATTACTGACAAAATTATATCACAGTTACCTAACAAACTCTTACGTAAACTAACAAATTTCGCAAAATGTTTAAATTTGTTTTAACAGTAAAAGTGGCATTTTTTGTCTATTAAACAAAAATCAATTGGTTTATACGTTTTCTTGGAGATTACACCATTCTTTAACTTTCTTGGGCTCTATAAGAGGTGCCTTTTGAAATCAGTTTGTCAGTAATTGACCCTGTAGTTCAGCGTAATTTTTGATTGACTAAAAAAGCTAAAACTAATCTATTTTTGGGTTAAACTTAGGGCCTGAAATTTGAAGAAAAATTTTTTTTTTAAATTCTATTATTTACCTTCTGTGCGGTTAAGAAGAGATTCTGAGACTTCATGCTCTCCTTGACTGATTGCGCTGCCACCTCGTTGGTCAAACACTCCCACACGCCATCACAGCCCACGATCAAAAAATCCAACTCCTCCTGACCGCATGCTCCGTTAAGGACAGTGGCGTCTGCGGATGCACTTCTGGACTTGGACAGATCAGTAACTGAAACATCTGGCATACAAGAGATCCTCTGCTTCTCAGGGGGCAAGTCTGAGTCCTGCTTGTATCTGTGGTCACCTGCGAATAAGCTTCACCTCAAGATTAATATTTTGACCAGTTAGTGATCTTAGATTTTCGAGGGGTTCTTCAGTTGAAAGGTAATACCGTATTCAATTTTTTGAAAAATCAAACAAATGCCACAGTTGACTGCACGCCTGCTTTTGACTTCTTGGGTGTCACGATTTAGACCAAAACCGAAAATTACTATAAGTGCACCATCTCTGCTAATTTAAAATAAGAATGAATTTGATGGTTCATGAACATGAAAATCAAAACTCTCATTTAGCTACCCTGATGAGGATCAGGCTATTTACAGCCCGGCATACCATATTCACAGTTAATATGTACTGCATTGCACATAAAATGGGCAGATCATAAATTTTGACTTCCGGGTAGGATGCAATTAGGCAAAAATCAGGTGGTTTTGGCAATCAATTTGAAACAGATACATCACAAAATAGACCCTTGGGTTTAAAATTAATATTTTGACCAAAACGGGACAACTTCCATAATTCCTCAAAATCAGTGAATTTGGCATTGAAGAAAAACATTTGAACTATTTCATCCAAATGATGAGATGCAGCATGATTTTGCCTTCAATGAAAATTACTTTCCAGAAAATATGCAAGACAATTGAATTTTAAACAAGCATAGACATGAATAAAACTTACACAGCGGTAACAAAGCGGACACGTGCTTGAGCGACAGGTTGCGCTGACAAAAATGTTTGAGAAAAACTCAAAAACTTAAGTAAAAACTTAAAAATATATAAAATAGGCCCCTTAAACTCTTTGCATTTCAAGAATAATTGATGATTGGTGCTTTTTGATAAGTTAATCTAATTTGAGAAAACCGGATCATTATGTAAAGTTTTAATTCCAAAAAATCTGAACATTAAAATACACGTTCGAAACTAGAAGTCGATCACGTTTTTATTGACCTTTACCCTTTTGCTGTTCGATAGTTGAGTTTGCCTTCCTTTTAACAATGGGAATGCATTTAACTCAAAAACAAATCACAAGTCAAACCGAATCACAAGCGAAAAATCAAGATTGAGCGTGAACAAACTATTTTTTTCACTACGTTCATTACTCTTTGTATTTTTTTTGCTCCTCAAAATACTCAAAAGCAGCCTCTAAGCCGAAACGTCTTAAGTCAATTAAGGAAAAAAAAAATTAAAAATTGATATACTTAAATTGGAGTTGGTCAACTACAACCAACTTAAAAAATAAATTTCGAATCGAACACGCAATTGAAATTTAGACAACTCAATGGGGAGCGGTGGTGAAGCGGTTTCGTCTTCGCCTCTCATTCGCGGCTCACCATGATCCGTGCTCGTTGCTTGAGGATGAAGCAACATTGCCCAGCCCAGAAAATGATCTTAATTTTAGACATCCTCAAAATTTGTCTGTTCGGTGACGGAAATACAGATGGATGGAGATGACGACCAATTCAGTCATCCTGTGAACGAAGTTATTTACGGGAAAAACACCAGTACCCGATTGCAACACCCTTACTTATCGCAACGGCAACCAAGTTTAAATGACATTTGGAAAATTGTCAAGTAACTCATTGAAACCGGAAAAATGATTGACATTTAAAAAAAAAACATTTCAAGAAATTCGAACTTGAAAAATCTTAATGATTTAACTTTTTTTATACAAAAACTATCATTGAGTATACAACATATAAGAAAGCAGCATTTAGGGCTGCTAGTCAAAAACTGTTGGTCTAATTAAATCGTGTTTCATTCTGCTGACCTATTGCACGTGTAAGATTGAGTCCCCCGTCTACCCTGCCCGCGTGTATCTCGCCGCCCGCCTCGTACACCCTGTCCACCTCCTCCTGCACTGCGGGCGTGTGGTCACGTGACAGGGCCACCACTGTCTGCTGCTGCTGACCCTCGCCTGCTGCTGCTGCCTTGTAGCACAGCACACACCTGGAGTCGCCCGCATTGGCCACGTACAGTTTCGAGTCCACTTTGAGAGCGACCACTGCTGTGCAGCCAGAATCATAGCCAGGCTGCCATAAACATAATAATCATAGTAATAACTAGAGGCAACTATCCGAACAGGGAGGGTTTTCAAAGGAAAAAGAAGCTAATCGATAGTTTCAAGTTAACATAATACAACCTTAGCGTTGCTTGTTTAACCAACACATGGTAAAAGAAATTCACTTGGCTCAAAAAAAATAGATATCTGAACAAGAGAAGCTTTATTTTGATTTTTTAAATCACCTTTTGCATGAGGGACTCTCCGCCAAGGAGTGGCTCATCTTCTGAACTGTCTTCATTCACCAGCTGTGCATAATCGCCCTGCAACACACACATTGCACTGAGAAAAGTGCAAAAATAGTATTCTTTCTACACATTTTCTGAATTTCCAAGTCAATTCAATCAAATCAAATGTACTAAATTGGATCAATGTCTAAGCATACCACTTGAGGTTGCTCATTGTTGTCACCGCTGCCTTGCGTATCCAACTTCTTTGGTGCTTTATTCTTTCGACTTGACTTGCTTTTCGACACTTCCGTTGTTGTCTCTTCTGTTTTTTCTTGTTCTTCAGGCTTGTCTGTTAATGTTTCTTTACAATTCGAACCCTTGTTCTCTTCACTTGATAATTTTGTGCTGATACCGTTGCTGTTACATGTGTCGCCACGTTCCATTGCAGTGCTTTCATTATTCTTCAAATTTGACTTAATCTCATCTGTATTTCCATTCTTTTTTGTGTCCACCTCTTTGTCATCGGTCTTCTTTCCCTCAGCTGGAAACAAAAACGTGAAATTAAATGAACTACAGGTCATTCAATAAAACTCATTGAACTAATTCATATCAGGAGGAATAGTTTGCACACAGGCGAAGCTGTGCCTCGCAAACACCAGCGACGAAACGGCATAAAAACAGCTTCAAAAGTGAAATAAAAAAAAATAAACCTCAAATTAGTGAAACTTTAGCAATGCAACAGATTCGAACCATCTATCTAGATATTCAAAGTCTTGCGCTCTTTCCACTGACGCTTAACTATTGCCTGACACTAGCCACAAACAAAGCAGAGATCAAATGCTTTGAATTTTCCAAAGCTACAGATCGTAATTGATTATAGTAAAAATGCCACTTAAATAACATTTCATTTGCGACTTAGGTTGGATAAAAAAAATATATTCATTCTAAGACACTACGCTCGCAAGCTCACGAGTGTAAAAAAAACGAAACGGGATATTTTACTTCAAAAATTGGCATTCAGAAACAAAAATTTTATCTCGACCAACTTTACTCACAGGGTTTTAACACAGAGGCGAAGCTGAGCTTTGCACCACTTGCGATACAAACCGAGAAAGCCGTTTAGTCGAAACAAAAAAAAATGGGCGGAAAAACTAGAAATATCAAAATGAATAAGGCATATGACACAAAGACATGCCAAGAAAATAAAATGTAGCATCCGAAGAAAATGGTCATGGTAAGAGTATGGTAAGAAAAACGATTTTTTTTTGGATTTCGTGTGGAAATGTCTTGCTTTTTCGCAAAAATTTCGGCGCGCTTCATCTAATTGGTAAAAATCAATAGTTAATTACGTGTAGGCTGTGGAATGAAGGTCATGTAATTAGTTTTTTGGTTCATGCTAAGTCAGTGGTAAGAGTTTGCGGGCAAAAACTTGGATTTTTTCATCAAAAAAATTGAATTTTTTTCAAAAAACTTCAAAATACGATAAGATTTGGTATAATTCGACCTATTAGCTATTTTTTTAGATAATCTTAATTTTTAAAACACTGCTCTATCTTCCTGAAACTATGCTGAAACCTACTGAAACTTCGAAATAAGTCAAATTTATGATTAAAAAAATTAAATTACGAAGGAAGTATATAAATCACTGCATCGTATAGTAAAATTACTGCCATAACTTACACTTACAAATATTAAACTACACAGTTACATAAAATTACTTATAAAATTAAAAACCTGCACATCATGCAGATTATTCAAGTTTCTCTGGTAAAATTTAAAAAGAAGAAATGCTGAAAAAATTGTGTAAAACCCACACAAATTATCAGTTTTTTGCAGTTTTCTGGGAACCATTCGCCAATACTTTTTTTGTTAGAAAGGAATTCGTTGTTCTTTTTCCACCCAAAGAACCCGCAACTACTAAGTTTTGTCCAATCGAACTATCATGATCCAGTGTTCCCCTCTATCATTGCTTGGAGCTGAGTGATGATTGAGTGACGAAAGAGTATTTTGTAATTTGAGGTATTTTATCAGAGGGGTAACATCCCATGTACCTGAACCTCAGTTCAGGAATTCGTTCAATATTTTTGCAGAAGTGAAAAATTATTCATCTTTGCAATTGTTAGCTGATTTACATCTAAAAACAAAGAAATAGATAGTTTGATAGTGTAATTTAGGATAAATAACTAAGTAAATGACTTACACACATTTAGGTATTGAAACAACAAATTCTCATACACAAGCCTTATGTACTAGACTAAAAGTTATCCCTGTTCCTGAAGAATTTGCTCTGTCAGTGAACGGATGCAAATCAAATACCAAGAGTTGAATTCGTTCGATATTTGTGCCTTATGAGGATATAATCCATTGGCGTTGTAAATCATTGTATTGTTAAAACAAACTTCACAATTGAAGAATAGTGAATGTAGTAGATCGTTTCCATAAGTTAAGCATGGTTCTGATTCTTCATCTGAATCATCCTCGGTTCGATACTGAGGATGAAAGGACTGATAATTTATCCCTTCATGTTCTGCTTTTTCTTTTTTGTAAGCATCCAACAATCTTCCCTTGAATAATTGAAGCTTCAAACTAAGATGGGTATCACGCATATCCAAGGAGAGATTACGATCCAATTCAGATTCAAACTCAATACTGCTTTCATCTCGAGAAGTACTGGGGAATATGTCTTGTGTGTAAGCTGAAATAATTTTTTCCAAAACTGGGATTTTGTCAAAAATCTCCAATGAAGTATTAGTATAAGCCCCGCACCCAAAATGATTTGGTTTATACTCATTTTATATTGTCAAAAATGTCTTTGCGAGAGCGACTGGTTTTCAATCTACATTTGGATCCGGCTCTACACTTGGATTTTTTATTCTTTTTCACCTCCCAGTTGCTTCCGAACTGTTTTTGTTCCCACATTTTTTGCAAATGTTTTGAGTTTTTTTACATCCACTAACAACTTCCCCAATCGCTGGAGCAGCGACTTCAAACAAATCTGCTCCAGATCTTTTTGCAGCTGGGACTAGGTACTTTTTAATAAAGGGAATTGCAGTTCTCCCACGAGTTTGCGCAAGAGCTCCAAATCCTCTTCCACGCAGTCTTGCATGTCCTCGAAAAAAACGGAAATCAGCTGAATTTAGAGCAACCATTTCGTATGAAGTTTCAATCAACTCGAGACAACTCGGGTAACTCCTACGGACACAAAAATAATTTTTTCGCCTGTAACATCTCTTAGTTCTATCTTGATACTATAGAAAGATTTTTTTAACAATTTTTTGAACTGTAAATTTGTAAAGGACTGATAATTTATGTACTGTCCTGTAGAAATTATATCTCTTCTTGTTACTTTGAAGATGAATGAAATACAACGCAATAAGGGAGTTTTTGTATCACAGACTATGTTATATTCCAGAATATCACTATTTATCATCAAAGAACGCATTCTTATAATGTCGTAAGAATACTGAGGATAACGTGGACCTTTTCCTTTCAATATATCCCGTTTGATTTTGTTCTAAATCACAACCCCAAATTGGACTCAAGTCAGAACTTTGAATAATAAACACTGACTGATCCTCAGGTGAATGAACGGATATCTTTTGTGTAATTTTATCTACTGATTTATATACTCCGTTATATTTAAAAACTTTAGCCTCTAGACGTTCTCGAATTTTGTTTTTCATGGCTACAACTATATCAACAATACTTGGATACAATCCTGATTCAATATGCATTGATTCAATCTTTCTTTTATCCTCAGAACTTTCTCTACCAACTACGAATGTAAACTTTCCCTCATAACACTTTGGTACAAAGAATGGTATGATATTTCTGAAATAGCAACCTCCCATTCTCCTTTCAAACGTAGAAGAAACTAACTCATTTCAAACGTCAGAAGAAACTAACTCAATAGTAAAAAAAATCCATGACAACTGATCGATAGACATGTAGTTTAAAAAATGATTTACCTTTATTCTGAACATTTTCTCAAGTTTTTCATAAAATTTTCCCAGAATTTCTTCTTTGTCGAGATCTTTGATGAAGTATGAATGGTTTGTATCCCTTTCGAAAAGGAATATCATTCTTTGAAATTCTCACTCTTTCTCCAACTTTGGATTTGGCTTTTTTATACCTTGTTAGAGGTTTATTGTTCAGAATTGAGAGGAAATCAGTATTCTTGACATCTCTAGGTGATTTCCCAAATCTATCTGTTGACGCGACAATTCATTGTAGACACAAATTGAGGTAACTCGTGAATGAATTTTTTTTCACCATGATCTTCTATGTAGTGGTAAATTATGTCTTTTAATGAATGAATGGCTCTCTCTGCAAATTCAGCTTTTGTATCACCCATTGTTGAGTAAACTTCAATGTCTCTCCTTGCCAAATTTTTTGAAAGTTCCATCAGATTCTGTCCCTTTATCAATCCAAAGTTTTTCATGAGTGTTTTTTCGAGAAATCATATTTTGAAAGCTTGCAAAGTGTCTTGGGCATATTTTGTTTTCATTTTTTGCTAAATCGCGAAAAAATATCAACAGCAACCAATAAATAGTTGACTCCATTGCTTTTGACTCGCTAGTTTGTCCACAACAGCCAAGTCCATACAACAAATTTCATTTATAAATTGCAAAAAAAAAGCTTGAAGTCTTCGGAAACGTCTGATTGGAGGACCAAATTTTGTATAGGATGACTTGGTTTGTAAATATTGTTCTACTTTCTTTTTTGACAAACCGCTTGTTTTACTCAAGTAACGCACAGAACCGTACGCAGATCTACCCCTAGAATACAATCTGTTCAGACTTACCTTTTCAGATCTTTCGCTTTGGCATTCTTGTTTAGGTGGAATTTGAGTTGCTTCCAAAATGGTAAAGTAAATATCTGGAAAGTCGGTTTTGTTTCGCTTTAGTACATACACAAAGTCTACAATAGATTCCTTTGTGTCTCGATAACCTAATATGATATTTTCTGACTGACTTAGTTTAATTCTAGGAGAACTCAAAATTAAATCAATAAGATGCTTATTGTTACTCGTTTTCAACCTCGTATTTACAGCAATGTAAACAGAATCAAAAACTTTTGGTACAGTTTCCTCTCTTTCTTGTTTTGTTCCAATTTTTTTTTGGAATCCTACTTTGTGATTGATGAATTGAGTAAGGAATTAGACCAAACTGATCCATACTATGTCAACCGTTTATTGACAAAAGGAGTGATAAGAGATATTAGTTGTAAGCCTTTACGCGAGCTTGAAAAAGTTCTCCTTTTATGCAGTGAAATTTCTCTTCGTTTGAGTTCTGATTTTTCTCTTCAATATTTTACTACGTCTACTTTTCGGAGATCCTGTAGCTCGCGTATCAAAATTACTAGATTCGCTGAGGAACTGAATGAAACTTTTTGGACAACGGAGGATAAACTGTTTTTGAAAATTTTTGGAAAATGTTTGAAATATTGGGAGTTTAGAGACGTTTTGTTTGTTCTTCATCCGAAAACTTTGTTTCTGTTCCTGCTGGTAAATAAAACTTTGATGAAACTGAACCGCTGTTT